ACCCTCAGTGTTCAGTTAACGGCCCTGGCTGGCCCCGAGCCAGTCAGACAGAGAAGGGGCCTGGGAGCTACTGAAGTGCCAAGGCGGGGATTCCCCTTTAGTTTGGTTTTCCCTTTGATCATTACAAAAGTCGGGTATTTTCTAAGAAAGATATAATGTCCCTTGCGATATAATGCCACTTGTGTCCGGTAGTTTTGTGGCAACCATCTGGCAACCCTACCCATGATACCATCTAGGGCTGTGTCTAGACTGGCCAGTTTTTCAGGAAAATCAGCCGCTTTTCCGGGAAAAACTTGCCAGCTGTCTACACTGGCCACTTGAATTTCTGCAAAAGCACTGCTTTTAATGGAAAAGTTTTCCGTTAAAAGCATTTTCGGAACAGAGCGTCTAGATTGGCACAGACGCTTTTCCGCAAAAGCACTTTTTGTGGAAAAGCGTCTGTGCCAATCTAGAATAGTGATAGAAATGTAGCCGTGTTAGTCTGGGGTAGTTGAAGCAAAAATGCAGGACAATGTAGCACTTTAAAGACTAACAAGATGGTTTATTAGATGATGAGCTTTCCTGGGCCAGACCCACTTCCACTGTTTGATCTGAGGAAGTGGGTCTGGCCCACGAAAGCTCATCATCTAATAAACCATCTTGTTAGTCTTTAAAGTGCTACATTGTCCTGCATTTTTGCTTCAACTACCCCAGACTAACACGGCTACATTTCTATCACTATTCTAGATTGGCACAGACGCTTTTCCACAAAAAGTGCTTTTGCGGAAAAGCGTCTGTGCCAATCTAGACGCTCTGTTCCGAAAATGCTTTTAACGGAAAACTTTTCCATTAAAAGCATTTCCGGAAAATCATGCCAATCTAGATGCAGCCTATGTGTTTTGTTAGTCTAAAGTGTTTTGTTAGTCTAAAGTGTTACCAAGCTATTTGTTGTTTTTTATGTTGACTCGGCTACCCCCTGAAGCTTTTAGACACTTGTTAGCATTTGATAAGTTTAGCACCTTGTTTTTAAGGGCATTCCTCTAAGACTAAAATGTAACACCAATTCTCAGGGGAGAGCTGCAAATCTAAGCCAAGAAGAGATGGGATTTAGTAAAAAGACATGTTTTTGTTAAGTGATACAGCGTTTGTCATATTAAAGAGTTACAATGTTCATAAATATTAATAACATAGTGTATACGTTCTGATGGCACAAGGTTAGACTGGATGAAGTGTCCTCTCAGATCAGCTGATTATATAGACAAGCCACTCTAGTGGATTCATGGCACTATATTCATAGGCATGGGCAGCGAGTTATATGGGCTTGTGTTGCCCATGCTCCAGCAATATTCAGAGCCGTGGGCCCTACTCCACCAATATTTGGAGCTGGGTCTCTCCCCTGGCCCTGTCTGGAGCGGACCCCGGTCCCCACCTGCCGGACCCTCCGCATGTCCTCCAACACCGGCCCCAGACCATCCCCCCTAGCTCTGTCCTGTCCCTGCTGTGCACCGCTTTCAAGATTCCAGCCCCGCAAAGTGGAAGGCAGATGGTAAGGTAAGGGGAGAAGGGGGGGAAGAGGCTTGTGCTAAGGAGGAGGGGAAAATGGGGGAAGGGGTGGGAGAGGAATGGGCTTGAGCAAAGGGGGAGGGGGAAGAAAGGGGAAGGCATGGAGGAGAGACAAATGCCAGGGGGTCAAGTGCAGACAATGAGGAAAAGGGCAGGAGGGGGAGGAGTCAGTGGGAGGGGGGACAGGGTGATGCTGGGAGAGGAGAGAGTAAGGGCATTAGGGGCTAGAAGGGGGAGGGGCGGGTGCTAGGAGAAGGCTTGAAAGAAGGGGTGGGCATGAGAAAGGTGGGGATGGAGCAAGTCGTGTGAGGGCACAGAGGGACATGAGGAGAATGGGGGCAGAGAGTGGTGAGGGGGTGGGCATCAGGGAAAAAGAGGGCAAAGGGGGCAGGGGCAGTAAGGAAAGAAGGGCTGATTGGAAGGGGCAGTTCGAAGGAGGGTGGAGGGCAGTGAGAAGGGCAGGAGGCAGGACAACAGAGGAGGGGGAGGAGTTGGGAGGCAGCAGGCACCAGGGGAGCTGATGGAGAAAGTGGAGGAGACATGGCAGCAGAGAGAAAACATAAAAGTTTATAAAATATTTATTAGTAACTTGGGTACCACAGTGGCACATCCAAACAAGCCACATGAACTCAGTACTGGCGCACAACACAAAATTTATTTTGCTCATGGGAGGAAACTCTTAGGCTATGTCTAAACTGGTGGCTTCTTGCACAAGAACATCTTGCGCAGGGTTCTTGTGCAAGAACATGTCCACACTGCCATGTGCGAGCTGTGCTTTTGCGCACAGAAAGCTCCGATGGCCATTTTAGCCATAGGGTTTTTTTGCGGAAGAAATCCCTGCCGAGCATCCACACTGCTCTCTTGCGCAAGAGATTTTACACCTGTTCGAAAAGAGCATAGCTCTTGCGCAAGAGGCCCTCTCTTACCATGCCGTACTGTAAATTTCCTTGCACAAGAGCAGGCGGGCAGAGTGGATACTCTGTGGATTCTTGCGTAAGAACAGCTATACTTGCACAAGAAGCCGCAAGTGTAGACGTAACCTTAGAGGGAACACTTCCCTCAGCCTCTCTAACCCCAAGTTAATGTCACACACATTGGATTAATGCAATTGCAGGATAGTTGCATGAGGGGGCTTTGGTGGGGGCCAAACTAATCCCTGTTGGTAGGAGGATGGTGGGAAAAGTCCTTCGAGGGGGGTGACATTACACCTTTTACTTCTGATCATGTGTCCATCTTGCCCCGAGCGTGTTACCTCCAGATGCCTGGTTAACATGGTCAGGGAACATGGTTAACGGGGGTCAGGTGGCATGATTAACAGGAGTCAGGGGGTGTGGCTAATGGGGCACCAAAAAATTATACAAACCTGCCGCCCCTGTTCATAGGTAGTGTTAATGGTTGGCATTAGTGAATTAGCAGTAAGTGAGCTGAAGAGAGGACATACTAGTAGGGCTGCCAGATGGTTTCAACAAAAATACCAGACACACTTGACATTATATCACAATCTACATTACATCTTATTTAAAAAATACTGGACATTTATATTTTTCTCAATTTGTTTCCCAAACAGAAAGCTCAAATACTGGACTGTCCGGTTCAAAACCAGACTCCTGGCAACCCAACATACTATGATTCAAGTCAGTGCCCCGAAGATTTTGGACTTGTTTACAACTTCGAGAGAAAGAACTGTGTGAAAGAAAGACTGTGTTTTGAGGAGATTAAAAACTAAGGAAGAAGCAGGGTTTCCAGATAAGAAGTAACAAGGGAGAAATTCAGTCAAGGACAGACCGTTGTTTATCTCTCATGGTAAGGCAAGCAGAATTGGGTGGTGCAAAAACCCAGTGCTTTTGGATCGGCCGTAAACACACTAGTAAGAGGGACATCACCCCACTTGGACTGTGTGCAACCAGTGGATGGCATTCCACTCGACTGGCCCCCACCGAAGGGATATATACCACACCATTTTGACACACGAGTTGGAATCCATCGATTTGGCATATTGGGGTAACGTGCATGTCGGACTTCCACCTCAACCAAATTTATCAACATTACCTGGGGCTTGGCCAGCCCCGGAGGAGGAGTGATAATTGTGAGTATGTTTGTGAGTGTGTGTGCTACAATTGGGTTAAGAATTAGGCTGCTAAATTGGGTTAAGAATTAGACTGTTAATTATGCCATTTAACATTGATTTTAACCTGCTTTTAATGCTTCTTTAATTGCTTACTACCAAAATATGTATATATTGCTCCTGAATTACTCCTGAATTGCTGATAATAAAACTTGTTAAGGGTATAGTTTGTCTACTGTGGGTCTCTTGTTCTGTGAACTGGTTATAATACACAGTCAGGAGCCCTGCTTGCACTCCGTGCAGCAGCAGCGCGCTCTTGTGACAATGCTGGATTAGTGTTGTCATTTTTTATTCTTATAGCTAGGAACGTGAAAAGCTGTAAGTGGGCTGAGCATCGCTGGATGTCTGAGCTGGACCTATGTTGAAACGATTTGTATTATAAGTCATAAGTGGGCCCGCAGGTCCGAGACCTAATAAGGGAAATTCCCAGCTCTATATTTCAGCCTTGGTACTTGAAACACTGGCTGGCCCTTATCAGGTTTAACCCATGCACTTGAGCTGGAAAACCACTTCTGACTTCAGTCTCAGATCGTAAGAGTGATAAGAATGGCATTAAGCCAGTACACACTCACCCAGTAAACAGCTGGGGTACAAAGGCATTGGTGGGTCCCATGCACATTGTCTCATCAGGGATCTAGACCTCAGAGGTGCCTGGACCTCCCCCGGTTGGAGCCACATCCACTGCAGCCCTTGAAGCAAGGACAGGACTTCCCATCGTAGGAGGGACTATCTGCTTTGCTCTGCATATGATTTCCAGTAATGGAAAAAGTACCTGCAAAAAGTTACTTGGGTAAAATTAATTCTACTTTGAAAAAAATGTAACTAAGTAAAAGTCTCAGTATCCTTCTAGAAAATCGCTTGAGTAAAAGTACAAAAGTATCACTTAGAGTCCCAGGAAGCACTGGGGAGTAATTACTTTGACTCTGGGGAATAGTTATTTTGAAATTGCAGCAGTAGAGAGTCCACACTACGCCACTACCACTATTTTGAAATAACTATTTTGAAATAAGCATTATTCCTCAGGGAAAGGAGTTATTATTTCAAAATAACCAACCCATTATTTCAAAATAACAGGCTTGGTATTATGTTAAATTGTGAGTAATTGACTAATCGAATAGTTGATGCATTTTGCATTGACTATTCAGTTAGTCGATAGGGCGCCTCTGCCTTTGAAGTGTAGCAATGAGCCCTAGGGCTGTTGCTACACTTAAAAAGCGAAAGCATCATGTGGGGAATCCACTTACCCTAGGATCCATGCGGCACTGCCACTTTGAAACGCCACATGCAGCCTGGGGACACCCCAGCTGACCCCGGGGTGCATGCAGCGTTTCAAAGCGGCAGCACTGCATGGAGCCCGGGGTCTGGTGCCAGGATCCATGCAGCACTGCCATTTTGAAGTATTTCCTTCCACCTCCCCCTACTAGTCAACAAGCTCTTTGACTATCTGATACGCATTTATTATCAGATAGTTGACAAGTCTTTCACATCCCTACTTGGTAGTGTGGGCACTCTGCTTGTTATTTCAAAATAATGTAGACCAGGGGGAAGGGAGAAGGCTTCTCAGGATTTCCAATGATACAATTCCCACAAATTTATTTTATTTCCATCCCAGTCTTTTTGGAGCGCTTTTTTTTTCTGCTTGAATGTTTTCTTGAACAGGTTGGGGAGAGGCACATCATCTGAGTCCTGAAAAGTGCCAACAGTTTCCCCAGTACGTGATCCTGTCCATCTTCCTCATTCTTGCCACAACTGTCAGCTTCACCTTTTGCAGTTGTGTTTAAGTGATAGCCAAGTCAAGGTTTTGTGCCAAATTTTCAGTTGTTCTAAGTTCACAGCTGACACATCACAGAGGGGGAGGAGGTGGAAGTGGCACCTTTCTGCTGCTTGGATGCTGGGACCCCCTGGGCTATGTCTACACTGGTAGGTTCTTGCACAAGAACATGTCTACATGGGCATGTGCTTTTGTGCAAGAGGATCCATGGCGGTGTGGATGCTCTCTTGTGCAAGAAAGCTCTGATGGCCCTTTTAGCCATAGGGCTTTCTTGCACAAGAAATCCTATGGCGCATCCACAGTGCCCTCTTGTGCAAGAGCTCTCGTTCAAGAGAGCTTACACTTGTTAGAAAAGAGCGTAGCTCTTGCACAAGAAGCCCTCTCTTCCTATGCTTTACTGTAAATCTTCTTGCGCAAGAGCGGGCAGGAAGTGTGGACGCTCTGCGGAAGAAGGGCTGTTCTTGCGCAAGAACCCACCAGTGTAGACATAGCCCTGGAAACTACACTCCTGGCTGAATTTCTGAAAGGCACAACATGGCCTCAAAATGCCTATTCCTCATGCAATCTCAGCATGCTTTCATTTATTTGTGTCAGTACACTACAGGAGAGTGGGTGACTGGATCCACCTCTGTTGGGGAAACAAAAAAAGCAGTCATGTAGCATTTTAAATACTAACAAGATGGTTTATTAGGTGATGAACTTTCGTGGGGCAGACCCACTTCTTCAGATCAGATTCTGAACATGAATTGGCATGACCATTATGAATATGATCTGAAGAAGTGGGTCTGCCCCACGAAAGTTCATCACCTAATAAACCATCTTGTTAGTATTTAAAATGCTACATGACTGCTTTTTTTGTTTCCCCAACAGAGGTGGATCCAGTCACCCACTCTCCTGTAGTGTACTGACACAAATAAATGAAAGCATGCTGAGATTGCATGAGGAATAGGCATTTTGAGGCCATGTTGTGCCTTTCAGAAATTCAGCCAGGAGTGTAGTTTCCAGGGCTATGTCTACACTGGTGGGTTCTTGCGCAAGAATTCTTGGTTACTTCTGTTGAGGAGAGAGGCAAATTTTTGAGCTGGAGCAAAGCTTTTGTCTTTGGAGGTGGGGGAGGGAGTGTTAAGCACCTGTGAATGGCAAAAGCTTTTTCACTCAATTGTCAGTGTAGACAAATCCTTATTCATGTCTTCTTCAGTGTCACAGCTAAATGCAAAGTGGAACAGATTGTTTAGCCCAAGTAGTTAGAATGTTTTGTAAGGGACCATTCAAGGTAGAATGGCCCATTAACATCTCTACAGTCATATGACAGAAAGCAGGGCTACAGATGGTTAAAATAAGCCATTAATCCAGTGTCTCTTTTCAGTCTATGATTTTTAGAGTCAAGAATAGGGATGAATTTAAGATTTCATGCTCATCTTTTTGAAAGTTGGGCAAGTTTCCTTTGAAAATGAGGATTTATATAGAGATTGATTTGTGAAAAGCAGAGGTGGAAAGCTTGTATAATTTTGGTGGTCAGGGCTACAGATGGTTAAAATAAGCCATTAATCCAGTGTCTCTTTTCAGTCTATGATTTTTAGAGTCAAGAATAGGGATGAATTTAAGATTTCATGCTCATCTTTTTGAAAGTTGGGCAAGTTTCCTTTGAAAATGAGGATTTATATAGAGATTGATTTGTGAAAAGCAGAGGTGGAAAGCTTGTATAATTTTGGTGGTCCCGAGAGGATAAGGAGAGGGAGTGAGGGCTCCGGGGTGAGGCTGGGGATGAGGGGTTTGGATATGGGAGGGGCTCGGGATAGCTGCAGAGGGTTGAGGTGTGGGGTGTAGTCTCTGGGGTGGGGATGAGTTGTTTGGGTCTGGGAGGACTAAAGGCTGGGGTAGAGGGGCTGAAGTTGGTGGGGCTGAGAGCTCTGGCTGGTGGTAGTCTGGGGTGAGACTAGGGATGAGGAGCTCAAATTTTGGAATATACCAGGCAGGCTGCCCTGGGGCCAGAGAGGAGGAACTTCCTCCCAGCACTCAAACCCCAGAAGGAGTCTATTTAATATCGCCTGTCTGGGTAATGGGGGGAATGTCTTGTGCCTTCTCCCTTCATCCCTCTGCAGAATAATGCAGCAGTCAACCTGCTGCCAGAGCTGCTCCCCTATAACAGGGTTGCAATGGCAGCAGCCAGTGAAGGAGTGCAAGGGGCCTGGCCAGCAACCTGCTGGCCAGGGCACAAGTCTGGTGAGGCAGCTGGATGAGATGCACAGGGACCTGTAGGCAGGACTAGGGAATGCTCCAAAAGGTGCACAGTGGCAGCAAGTAGAGGGAGACACCCGGCCACAATATTGGTGTTATCAATGGTTCACAGTCATTCTGGAAGGTCATAACAAGTGGGGCTCCACAGGGATCCATTTTGGAACTGGTTCTGTTCAATATCTTCATGAAGCCCATACAACTTGATGCCCCTACTGAAGTGTTCACCCACAGGTGATGTGGCATTTCTGTTTTTTATCATTTTCCTGTGTAGTGATTGTCTACATCAGAGTGGGGAAACTACGGCCCCGCCAGCTGGATCTGGCTTGTCATGATCAAGGCTTGGGGCTCTCCTGCATGGCTAGAGGGCCAGTGCCGGTTCCCTGCTGCTGCAGGGTAGAGGGGAGTTCTAAGACTTGCAAGCCTGATCAAGGCAAACTGTGGGCTGCATCCAGCCTGTGGGCTCTTCCTGGTGGGGGAGGAAGCAGCTGTACACCAGGAACAACGGTGCAGAACAGCTCTGTCCCCTGCCCCCTGTGATGCTTTTGGGCTCTACCTCATCATGCCTATTGGCCTGGTGTCTCTATTTCTTTTTAAACTGCTTATAAGTTGGGGGGCTACATCTGTGAGGTTTTTGGGAGGAGGGAGTTATTATTGGGGAGGGGGGTTGGTTGTGTTTTTTTTTTTTTTTTTTGCTTCTCAGGCTATGTCTACCCTACAGAGTTTTTCTAGGATAGAGGTAGCTCATAAAAACTCTGCCACATCCAGGGAATACATCTGCTTTTTCAGATCAGTTTCCAAAAAAGTGGCATGCTCTTTCAAAATCCTGTATTCCCCATTCCTCTGAAAGAAGAGGTCTTTCCCACATTTGGCCCTGTGTAGATGGGCCAAATGACAAAAAAGCCTCTTCTGAAAACAGAAATGGAAAAAGTTACGCAAATTGCAATTTGCGTAA